TGAGGAGAGGTTCACCACTGTGAAAGACTGCATGAGCAAATAGTGCAACAATTCAAGAATAACATTTTTCAATGTAATATATCAAAGAGCTTTTGCTTTTCATCATGTACAGTACATAATAACAATAAAAGATTCAGAGAATCTGGAGAAATGTCTGTATGCAAGGGACAAGGCCAGAAACCAGTATTTGCTGGCCATGATCTTTGGGCCCTCAGGCAGCACTGCATTAAAAACAGACATGATTCTGTAGTGAAAATTACTGCATGGGCTCAGGAGCACTTCTGAAAACCACTGTCTGTGAACACAGTTCATCACTGCATCCACAAATGCAAGTTAAACCTCTAAAATGCAAAGAAGAAATCATATATAAACATTATATGGACCGAGGCGAAGTGGAAAAGTGTTCTGTGGGCTGATTAATCAAAATTTGTTTTTTTTTTTGGAAATCATGGACGCTGTGTCCTCCGGGCTAAAGACCACTGAGCTTGTTATCAGTGCACAGTTCAAAAGCCAGTATTCATGATGGAATAGGGGTGCATTAGTGCACATGGCATAGGTGACTGGCACATCTGTGAAGATATTATTAATGCTGAACAATACACCGATCAGGCATTATGACCACCTCCTTGTTTCTATGCTCATTGTCCATTTTATCAGCTCCACTTACTATATAGATGCACTTTGTAGTTCTACAATTACAGACTGTAGTCCATCTGTTTCTCTGCATACTTTGTTGGCCCCCTTTTACCTTTTACCCTGTTCTTCAGTGGTCAGGACCCCCATGAACACTGACGTGGTGGTGGTGTGTTAGTATGTGTTGTGCTTGTACGAGTGGATCAGACACAGCAGTGCTGCTGGAGTTTTTAAACACTGTGTCCACTCACTGTCCACTCTATTAGACACTCCTACCATGTCAGTCCACCTTGTAGATGTAAAGTCAGAGACGATAGCTCATCTGTTGCTGCACAGTTTGTGTTGGTCATCCTCTAGTCCTTCATCAGTGGTCATAGGATGCTGCCTACAGGACGCTGTTGGCTGAATATTTTTGGTTGGTGGACTATTCTCAGTCCAGCAATGACACTGAGGTGTTTAAAAACTCACTCAGACCAGCACAACACACACTAACACAACACCACCACATCAGTGTTACTGCGGTGCTGAGACTGATCCACTACCCAAATAGCACCTGCTCTGTGAGGATCCATGGGGGTCCTGACCACTGAAGAACAGGGTAAAAGGGGGCTAACAAAGTATGCAGAGAAACAGATGGACTACAGTCTGTAATTGTAGAACTACAAAGTGCACCTGTATGGTAAGTGGAGCTAACCAAATGAACAATGAGTGTAGAAACAAGGAGGTGGTCATAATGTTATGCCTGATTAGTGTATATACATGTTTTGGCAACATATGCTGCCACCCAGATGATATCTTTTTTTAGGGAAGGCGTTGATTATTTCAGCAAGATAATGCCAAACCACATTCTGCACGTATTACAACAGCATTGCTGTGTGTTAAAAGAGTCTCGGTGCTAAACTGGCCTGCCTGCAGTCCAGATCTGTCACTCATTGAAAACAATTGGAGCATTATGAAATGAAAACAATGACAAATGACCCCCTGAACTGTTGAGCAGCTGAAATCCTATATCAAACAAGAATGGAAAACATTTCACTTTCGAAACTACAGCAATTGGTCTCCTCAGTTCCCAAACTTGTTAAAAGCAGTGTCGTTAAGAGAGAGGTGATGAAACACAGGGGAAAACATGCCCCCGTCCCAACTTTTTTGGAACGTGTTGTTGGCTTCAAATTCAAAATGGGCATATATTTTTCAAAAAACAATAAAATTTCTCAGTTTCCACATTTGACCTGTTTTTTTTGTAGTATTTTCCTTTAAAAATATGGTTTACATGATTTGCAGATCAGTGCATCCTGTTTTTATTTACATTCTGCACAGCGTTCTAACTTCTTTGGAAATGGGGTTGTATATTAATGGATAGCATAACGGGTTATTAACGGTTAACATAATTTTTAGCCCATTAAAACTGGTATCTGTTTCGGCTACAAACTTTTGATATCAGTCAGGCCTTGGCATTTATGTCCATTTATATTTACAGTAATTCTTTCTTAATTTTTCATTTACAGTGTAGTCATAAAGTCTCTCAAAGGTCAGTCATGAGTGTTGCAGCCCTTTCTGGAGAGTATAATATCATTTTATCATATTGCTCACCTTCAGTTGCCTTTTTGCTTGTGGGCATGTATTATAGTTGAGTAACTCATACCATTACTTGGATTGCTGGACTCTCTTGTCCTTCCCTGTAAATAGTAAAATATGCAGTCCCTTTAATTGCATTCCCTTTAAGAGCATACTTTATTAATTTTGCAGGGGTACTACAAGCTCCACTTTAATCAATCCTCTTTGTTTTGTATCAAAAAAAGTGTGGATAAAAGAAGGCGGGTATTAACTTGTTCTGCTTAGAAGCTCCTTGAATGTTATCGCAGTAGTAGCTGAAAGATGTTGTATTCTACTTTGAGAAATTCTCTTAGTGAGGGTGTTGATGTTTGAAGGCTATGCTGCTGTGATCCGTAATTAAATGGTATCTGACCCTAGATCTGTTCAGCAGTTTGCTAATGTTAATCTTGATGTATGTTACATTTTTATTTTAATGGCTGCCCCTGCATAATGGCTGACCTGCCATAAGGTTCTTTGTTTGACATTTTCTCTGTCTGTAGCCTAGGGGATACCAAGAGCAGGAGGAAGCCATGAATGTGTCAGTTGCAGCTGCGGTGCGTGGTCATTACCTTCATAGCACTCTTTAACACATGAACACACTGCATAATCTGACATCTGCATGCAGGAGACATGTATAATTTGAACTGTCCCTCCATCTTCTGTGGATCACTGTGCCGTTCCCCTTCATTAGTCTGTGTGAAGGGCACTTGTGTGGCTCACTCCGTTCCAGCTCCCTGATGGTATTGCCTGTTCTTCCAGTACTTTTCTTTAAACCAATTTCACTAATGGCTTTATGTTGAGGGAATCCATCTAGGAGGGGGGAATATCCTTTAAATGAATTGTCTGGGATGTATTACTCCATTCCACGTTAAGAGTGATTCCTGGACCTGAAGAACAGTATTTTTTCAGCAGACACAACCGAAACTTTATTCTCGTCTGGCAGGCCAAGGGCTTTTTATCATAAATGTATATTGTTTTTAATAGTCTATTAAGCTGTTAGTTTCATCTAATATCGCACTTTGTGGTGTTGTCACACTTATTTGCCAGCTGTTTTCAGACATAATCGAGCAACGTAGTGCTTTTATGATCCTACTTTGCTAATACTGATGAGGCTACATTGTTTGTATTTTTTATCTGTTACTAAGAAATTGTTTAAAATAAAGCTTCTTTATTTTGACAGTTAACTTAGCACTATCAACTATCAATTGCTGCTCTTAAGGACACTGTACATAAAGGCGCTTCAAGTAAAGTTTTCGGTTCCCTGATGTTTTATTTAAAAATTAATGGAAAATTTCTAAATTTTTTTTATTATAGTAGAAGAGAATTTAAGAAAAATCACTAAAAGAGTTTTTGTCCAGATTCTGTGGACACAACAAGCACATCGCCAGCACTGCGATGCTTATGTGTATGAACTTAGCGGACCTCTGAATTAAGAACTTCGCGCAGACCTATAGCATACTATGTGATGCAATTAATGTATGTAGTGTTTTGTTATATGGAATTTCTGTTTAATGAAGCATCAGTCTCTGTTCTGTGTTTATCACCTTTTAGTCACTTCCATGCTGTGTGGTTGTACTATAGATATGCAAGAATATGACGTGAGAGTGTAATACATGATCTACAGTGACTACCCATGGTTGTGCTCATTAGATTAGAAACTGATCTTTCCCTTGTGGTTGTGCACGCCTCTAACTTGGCCTTGTAACCCGTTGGAGATATGCAAGTGCGCTCTTCCTTATACAACATCTTTATTTCCCTAATATGAATTTGTCGGTATAGCAGAATTGTAAGGCTGTCCAGTGGGTGGGGACAGTAACGGCAGAGAGCCCCCCACAGAGGAGCTGCCATTCATTAGTTTTAATTAAATCACAGCGGAACTGTGAGGAGTTCGCCAGCTTCCGATAACAACACAGGCTCTTTTTTTGAGGATGCGCTAGAGGCCTCTGGAAAGCCTCCATTTCCACCTGGCTATTGAAGGCCATAAAATAGGTGTGAGCTGTGAGCGAGCTGTGAGAGGCGTTCCATAAGAATAGGAAAGACTTCTTTTCACAGCCAAACCTGAATTGATTTTGATTGATTTTTTCCAAACCAGTGGTAATCAGCCAAGCTTAGTGTAAGCGCACACACACCTTGCTGCCCACTGCTTTGGAAATAGCCCTCCAAAAGTTACTCACCTGCACCTGTAAAGCAATTTCCCAGAACTAAATTAGGCTTTTATTAAATGAGGTTGGAGAGTACCATGTGCTAGTTCCACATGCTGCAGCAATTCTTTTTTAGCATAGATGTCTAGTTTGTGACAGATCCTCCTGATTGCTTATATTTTTTTATATTGAGAATCTGTTAATCAATACCACACATATTACAAAACTGCTGATGTTGTCTTCTGCATTTTGTCATGTTTGTGCACTGCCATGTTTGTGTGTATGTGATCAAGACAGATAGAAGACATACACATAGTGTGCCATTTGTCTGTCTTTCTATATGTCTGTCTGTCTGTTGACTAATTATCTGTCTGTCTAGCTAGCTGTCTAGATGTCTAGCTACACCATGGGTGTCCAGTCTTATCTGCAAACAGTCTGTGTGCCTGCAGGTTTTGAATGCAAATCTGCAACCACATCGGCCTTTTGTGGATAAGATTAGACACCTTTGTTCTGCACCACATGTCCGCAGTTTCCCCGTTTAAATAGTCAATTCAACTACTTTAAGGTGCACCCATTGCTGACACAGGCGTTAACTTGCACACACACAGCTTATATATAATGTCTGCTTTTCAGAGAAAACGAGGTGCTGAAGGTCCAGCTGAAGAAGTATGTGGGTGCTGTCCAAATGCTGAAGAGAGAAGGCAACCAGAGCATTGACTGTAAGTCACATTACACTTCACAACAGAACTAGCTATAAAATAGCTGACACTTCAAACCAGTGTAGCTGCTGTATGTGTCATTCCCTACAACAGTGAGACTAAAAGGCAGAAATTTATTTTTCATTAGCTGAGTTTCTAACTTTTTAGTGTATCCTTAGGGGTTTTAATAAACGTTAGTCTTCTGGAGGATGAAAACATGCTGTGCAAAGGGTATTCAGATAAGACAGCCTAATCAAAGCCAAACAAGGCTAACATGCTAGACTTCCAGGGAAAAAAATCGCTATTTGCATTTTAGGAGGAAAAGGTAGTTATCAGTGCAGCCTGCTGAGTGAATACCCTCAGGCACTTTTTGACCACCCCTAGAGGCCCACAATATAGAACAGACCGGAATAATTGCCTATTAAAAGTACTGTTTTATGCAAATGGAACTTTATTATTTCTGTGATAGTGCATAACTTAAAGTGTTTGAACTTTTTAAAATGGATGTGATGTGACTCTTATGAACAGAGTACTGTGCTGTAGTGGCTTCATTTGGCTTATGCATGTTTTGTTTGATGAATGACAAGGTGAAGTCTTTTAGAGGAATGACATCACATGAGAGCAGAGTACAGTTCCTCAGATATTTAGGAAATTTCAGTTGTGACAGCAATTTACTTCGAAAGACAGTTGCAAAATAGCACTTCCCTGGATCACAGTTGTGTTATCTTAAGAAGATACTCTTGGGTGCTTTAGTTTGCATTTTTAATGGTGGAGTGGATTGATGTCATGTCAAAATGACACCGATTCCTGTGTTTTTGATGTTGTGTTTCTAGAGTGGGCATGATGTGTCACATCCTGCCTTATTTCTTTCTGCATGGCCTCTTTGAGTGATGCTATAAGTCAGAGGTGGGTGTGATCTTGCATTTAGGTCTTTGTAGTGACTTACTACTGTTACCATGGCGGCAGACATTAAAGTTTGACTCTGTGGGGACGTTTGACTGGTTCCTGCAATACGCTATATTGTTTTTATTGTCAATAATAAAACATAATGCCTTTTGGAGGGGATTTTTACATTTGAAAATAACATGAGAATTGTATTTGGAGAATACAGAATGACAGCATACATTGTGTATTATTATAATTGATTGAAATATATTCCAAAGATTCTAAAATTGATGCAGTGGAATCAGACTGATGCATTTTTACACATCTGGTAATGTAGAAAAAAGTCAATATACCCCACAAATGTAAGAATACAAAGTTGTGTGTGCGTGTGTTTGCTCCCAGAGGGTGTGAGCTTTAAAGAAGCTCCTGTCAGAAGCCTAATAATGAGCCTTTATCCAGCCGTGTTTGCGCTGGCAGGTGTGCCCACAACAGGCTTCACTTTTGCCCTGCCACTGCCATGTGATTTCTGTACATCTGTGCCTTGTTCTCACAAAGGCCTAAATTCTCTCTATCTCTCCTCCGTGCCTGCTGCATTAATGATGCCTTACTGTAGCTCCCACTTTGATGTGCAGTAGCAGCTGAAAAGGATGATGGGGAAACACTAAATTGATATACAAGCGTGCAGTACAAGGTGTCTTTTTAACATCCTGTCACATTAGTGCTCACCTCAGTTGAAGCTTTTTGAAACTCTTTTTTTTCTTTTTTGACGCCCCTGCCATGTTTTGAACGTCAGTTTTGTCTCAAAGTCGGGATGTGTCCCATGCTGGCACGTCTCTGTGTTTATTTTCATCCCTCTCTCTGTCGATTTAATGCTTTGCTATGCGTTGCTTGACAAAAATGTGAAACAGAGGAGCTCTCTCATTGCCTTATCACATTTTCCTTTATTAAACATTGTAAATAAGCAAGGAAATCATGTAAATGAGTGTGGCTAAGTGGCCTGTCAGTTTCAGAGGGGTTTTGGGGACACTATGGGCAGGAGGGGTTCTAGAGCAGCTCTGCTTCTTTGTGGACTTTATCTCGGTCAGGAGGAGCGCTCGCTGCAGGGAATACCCCTGAGACACCTTTGCCCAGGAGGAACAGCGGTAGTGTATAGTGAATGTTGTTCCTCAGCATATTACAAATCATTGTACACTGGGCTAAAGATGCTTGCTTAGGCTAAGGTTCATTACTGCCCTCTCCAGATAGTAAGAAGTGGGTGCCCTGTTGTATATTCATAGAAAGAAAATTTGTGGATATTATTTGTAGTTCTGAGTAGTTTTGTTCATTTTATTTGGGCTGCAACAAATAGCGAACAAAGTCAGCTTATTCGTCAACAAAGTTGATTATGGAAAAAGGTCAATATGCGGAAATAATTCAACTCGAGAATGAAGTTGACCTTTTTTTATCTTGTGAATTAGGGGTGCAACGATTATTCGACGTAGTCGACTAAAATCGACGACCAAATTAGTTGCCAACTAATTTAGTAGATTAGTTGGTGACGTCATTACGCGTCTTTCTCGCGTTCACTATGAACGCTCACTGGAGAGTTGACAACAGCGCGATGGCAGCCTCAAGAACAAAATCCACATATGTGTGAGAGCTGAACTCAGAAAAAAGGTTGTTAGTTGTGCTATTTGTAAAGCTGACCTTAGCTGGTATGAGAGCACATCCTTCATGTTGGAGCATCTGAAGAGGAAACTTGTCGGCTCACTGTAAAGAAGATTCATCTCGGTAAGATAGGTACCGGCCCAAACCGCATACTAGCTCACTAAATACTATGTAAAAATGGCGCATGTAGCATTAGAAGTGAAGAAGTGTGTGGTTTGGGACGCGGCGATAGTTGTGCTAGCGAGCTAGTTAGCTAATGTTAATGCTAAAAGCCGTCCTACTTAATGTTATGAGCTGAGCTGTAACATTTTCTATTTCGAAATGCTGTTCTCTGGAATCGTTAACGGAGCTGGAACAGAAAAGCAAGTAACTGTTATTCACAGCGACCCTGTTCACTTTTCAGATGATAACGTTTACAGTTTTAAACACTGTATCACTGTCTTAACGCCGAGGCAACCTGTACGTTCAGATTCGGCGAACACAGGAGAGCGTTTCCAAACAGTTTTTCTGTTCTCCGCAAACGTTTAGCTTCACTCGCAGACAGTTTAAGGACATAGTTCTCCGTGAACACACAGGGTAGCTGGACAAAGGGTTACTGGTCAAATGAAGCGTTTAGACTAAAATCGTTCAAATTTAACTGTTCATAGAGAAGTTTGCCACAAACATTCGCCACTTTCCCATCCGCTCCATCAGAGCGCATCTTCTCTGCAGTGGGGAGTATCTGCTCTCAGAGCAGAGCGAGACTCTCACAGCAGCACAGAGAGATACTGACTTTCCTCCGTTTCAATAGAGACCTGTGATTGTAAAACTTATTTGCAGCAAAGTGTAGACAGACAGCAGAATGCAGAGCGCAGACTGCACTGTTTAAATTTAAATTTTAAAGTTTAAAAACATTTAAATTTAGATAGATTTTTTATTTACTTAGTTTTGTTATATTTTCTTGCTGCTACTTTGCACGTCCTTGGTTATAAATATTGACAGGAAAAATATATTGGAGTTTTATTTTTTTATCTTTTGTATTAGCAGAAAAGTTCATTAAAACAGTGAATTGAATCTGTATTGTCTTCGTTGTTAGTTAGCAAATGCATGAAACAACCTCAATCTAAATTTAAAAGCTAATAGCTACATAAAAGTTATTTGGTAATGTAGTGATTGATAATCCAAATTATCGATTATTCGTTTCAGTAATTGATAGATTATTCGACTATCAAATTAGTCGTTTGTTGCAGCCCTGTTATGAATTCATGTCTGTGGTCATATTAGGCACAATTCACTCTTTCCTATCATTTAAAAGGCAAAATTCTTGTTTTTGTTGTTCTTGCATCAAAGTGCTATGATATTTATACCATCAAAATGTGATATCTATACATCACCATGCACCAGCAGGTAGGGAAAAATAATATTACGATGCTATAAAATAGCAATAATAGTAACAATAATAATAATAACAATATCAGAATATTCATGGATATGCCAAGCAGCAAACAAAGGACTGGTCTTGTCCACACACTTGCTGCCATGCTACACTGATTAACCTAGGAGCATCTGCAAGCAGAACTCTGTTTGTCCAAAATGTGTTTTTGCTGAAATTCTAAATTTTATTTAGAATAGAATTTTGAATTCTACAGCAGGGGCTACGGGAGAGTAACCAAGGAAGATTCAATTAATCTGTTTATAGAGTAATAGTAGATAATTTAAGCAATTCTAAAGGTAATTGCTAGTTGCAGCTGTAGTAGTTATTATGCAGTCATCAAATAAATCTAGCATCTGGAACTTTTGGGCAAAAAGGTAACAGCAAATAAACATACAGCAGGCCTTCATTTCACTGCTGACAGCCACACTTAATAAATCAATGAAGACCATTATTTACTGACCTGGCCAGAGGAGCGTTAATAATTTCATCTTTCAAATTCACTACTAAGTGTAGCCAGTTTGTTTTGTCATTCTCTTGTCTGGCTGAGGAAGTGCTAGGGGATAAGTGCTAGCAGCCACATGTGGTGGGGGGTAGGGGTGTGGGTTATTGTGTTTACTTTGAGTAATGTGGACCCCTGGTACGTGCAAGGGAGGCTGCTCTTTTATTTAACAGAAGGGGTGTGTGCATGTATGGTAGAGAGGAGTTGAGAGAGCCAGGTGGCCTACTGTCCAGGGGACTGTGTCCCCATCACCTGTTAATGAACAGTGTTAATGAACATTTTAATCATCACCTGCAGGTTAAACAGTGAACCTGACAGCTCCACCCCACCCACTCTCGGCTCTGATGTTTGTCAGTTATTGCTTTGGCCCTTTTTCCCTGCAGATAGCCTGAGTGGTCATGCTGATGACCGAGAGTCCTCAGGAGGAGCACCTGGACGAGCTCTTGGCAATGAGCTGTCTGCCTGATTTCCATTACCCGCAGTTATTTTTCATCTCCTCCTCAGTCAATCTTTCAACACCTCCACAGGTGCTGCCCTGCAGCTATGCGCTAGCGTCCAGCCTCTCAGGTCCACACA